AGCAAACCACTTCTGAAGATGCAAGCCACTCGTGCTTGCGAAACGTCAGGAAGAAATTCTACCGAACGACGGCCTAAAAACCCATTAGTTTCAAATCTAAAAACAAGTAAAAAATGTCATCAACATTTTCCTAGCAACAAAACTGAGTTACTGCGCTGGTGCGTTCGGTTGGCGCACCAAGCCATTTGAGTAGCACTGCGCCAACTCAAATTCACTGAGTTACCCAGGCCTACTTAGCTGATTCATCAACGGGCTTGAAGGAAAAGCTTGGCTTTGTGGAACGGGCGAGGAATGGTCAAGGTGGCTTTTACATGTAGGTACCTACAATCATCTTCAGTGAACTGCATGTGCATGAATCCGAGCTCTTTTCGCTGACACCTTTTGTAGATTTTCATGGCATTGGCATTGAGAACAGCTTATCTGCTGATGAGAACAAGAATTATTTAATTGGGCATGTGGAATTATTTCAATCAAGAGAATAAATTGTCCCTAAACGAGGGTTTTTATCCAGGAGATCAGGCCTCCAACCCCGCCATCGCGTAGAGGATCAAAAATCCCTCCTCCGAACATTCATCCTTTAGCCACAACTTTGCCCTACATGATAGAGGAGTCGAGCTCTTAACAACTTTCAGCAATTAATGGAGGTTTTCCCCAATCATTCTTCATTTTCAGCGGGGCTTCATTTCATGTCATGTTATGTGGTGGCGTTAGCTTTTAAGTCCCAATGCTGTGTAATTTTCAATAGATCGAAATGCCGATTTTTTAGTTGTTTTAATCTAATGCAGATTCTAAAGAACGACGCTTTGAATAGTTCAACACCCCCCCTGGGTAAGAAAGCACTGGAAACAGGTAACTTTAGTCTTTAGCTTGCTCTCGCGTCTAAACTTGGAAAACTTCCAGATCAAAGTCCAGGGCCTCAGTCGCCTCAACCGCCAAAAGTGCCTCCTCGCAAGTTTCCACGGAGAAAACCCTCAATCAACCCGGCGCCTCTAATTGGAGGTGACCACTTGAGGACCTACGATAACCCGATCAGTTACTTGGGAGGACCAAAGCTCCCCAGCAGGAACAGATGGAGTATTGAAAGCGTGCTGTCTTTAGATTGAGCTTTACTACTACCCACATGAACAGTATTGATCTCCAAGGGGCGGACGCTACTAAAGCCCAAAGAACTCAGTACTTATAGTAAACTGTAAGGTTTCTTCTTGAATTTAAAATGGATATCAAGTACCTGTCCAAAATTAGCGAAATATAATGTACATACATATACAATGAGGATTTTTTGAGCTAAAGTTCCTTAACAAGGCAAATTGCCGAAGCTTTTATAGCTTAACTAGTTGAAAAAGTTGCTCGGATCATAACAAATCAGCGGAGTATGTAAAGCATGTGATTAGGCTGGAAGTCGGGTAAACTTTGGAAAAATTCGAAAGTACATAATTGCGGAAAATTGTTGCATAATGAGAGGTCTTGATATGTGGATATAAAACCGAACAAAGGTCTCTTTCAACAGTATTGAAGCTTGGGCAAAATGGTAAGTAATGGCAGATTTTTAACAATTTTTCCCAAACCGGATTGCTTACAGCTGCTTCCGGACAACCAATTGTTCCAAATCCCCATGTACTTATCAGTGCTCGTCGGAATATGGCCGATAATCCTCACTGAAAGCAAATGGCTGAAAAAAGCCTACCGCCTGTTCGCTACCATGCTCTACTACTACTACTTGGAGTACATCTGCAGGGCATATTTCCAACTAGTCCTGCTCGTTAGAGCTGAGCATTTGAACCTGGAAGAAATTCTTGGCAATCTGTGCATTACGCTGATTTACACCGTTTCTATGATACGTCTACGGGCTTTCGACACGCAACAGATTAAAACCCTTTTTTCCACCATCGTCGACGCTGAAAAGCTGATTTTGCAGGATCCCGATCCAGAAGTGAGAAAGATCTACCTCGCCGTCGTGCGTCGCAACAAAGTTTCGCATTTCGTCTTCTTTATCTGCGGCTGGATGGTTTCTTTTCTCTACTTCCTCCATCCATTCTTCATGGAACTGCCTACCATGAAAGTTAACAACGAAACGATCACCCTGAAAACGCTGCCGCTGTCCACTTGGTGGCCGATTGATGTCCAAAAGCATTACTGGGTGAGACTCATTAGACGCGGCTTTAAACTTCCTTAATCAACAACGTTTTTGCCAAAGACTGCGTACTGTTGGAACGTATTCGATGGCACCTTAGGCAGTTCCTTTGTAATCGACTCAGACATGCTGGCGTTCAGTCTTGTGGTCTTTGCGGTTTGTCGGCTGGATATTCTGAGCTATCGGCTACAGCGCTTGCAGCTGGCCGGAGGCCAGACATCTCAACAGGTCAATTGGGAGATCTTCAGAAACTTAATTGTACAACATCAGGAAATCATCGCGTAGGTCCCACTCCAATAGCACAGTTTTTGTTAGTTTAGTTAATGGTTTCAGGTATGTTGATACTTTTAACGACGGGATGAAGTACGTTATGCTCTTTGATTTCCTTCAATGTTCGGTGCAGCTTGCCACGATCACTTTGCAGCTTTTAGTGGTAAGTAGGTGGTAAGTTGCAACTGTTTCAGCCGCTTGGGCCTTTCAGATGAAAATCAACTTTCAAAATGTGCTGTTTGTTGGAGTGTTTTTGATTACAATGGTTATGCGTTTGGTTATCTACTACTTCAATGGCAACGAGATCATTTACAAGGTGAAATATTGCGTGAGTAACAAACATTTTTACATTTTATTAAACTGTGGACTTCCAGAGCCAGCAACTCGCTATAGACATTTGGATGACCGACTGGTACAAGCAAAGCCACAATGTTAAGCACATGCTTTTGTTTTTCTCCATTCGCGCCCAACGGCCCTTGAAGTTCCTCATTGGGCCATTTGGCGTTTTGTCTTTGGAAACTTTCATTACAGTGAGTGATGCTGGCATTTCACACTCCTTTCAGACATCGCCAAGTTTGTTGCAGATTATTAAAGCTACGTACTCTTACATGATGTTGTTTGTCAACACCAGCAAATGAACGGGGAATGCAGATAAATTTAGGACATGAGCAAAACTAGGAAAATACGTATAAAAGCATTTGTTGTGTATAAAATACAAGTACAAAAAAAATATACAGAGTATATTTACATGGACGGACAGTTGCATCTACGGTGCAACCTGAGATTCTTAAGTGTATCATTAAATGAACAAATAGCTACCGCAGTTAAAAAAATAACCGGGTGAAACTTTTAGAGTCTTGCCCGGAAATACATCAAAATTAATCACAATTGAACTTAAGGCACTTTCCCTACTAGCTTTCCTCGATAAAAAATTACCAAAAGCCATAAAGAACCAGCAATGATAACCCTAGGAAAACCACTGATATGCTATTATGAGAGGAAGTGTTACATCCATCTTTACTGTTGCATGTGCAGTACTCCATAAAAATGTTGTAAGTGCCAGTCCTCATCAAGCAAAACCTTTCGTCGCCCTTGATTCCAATCTCCCCTAAAAAGGCGCAGCTTCGAAAGTACTTCCACACGCCGTTTACTGAAAAGATTGCTCACATTTATGACAAACCCATAGAAGAATTCGGTAAATTAAATAAGTTGTCCTATAAGTTACAAATTAAGAATCGGCATGAGTGTTTCTGAAAGTTATAAAAACACCCGGCTTTTGAAAGTTTGAAGTGATCTAAACGTGAAACTCCACAAGTTAACTGGTAAGTAAAGTAACAATTTACCTTTTTGCCTGATTTTGCGACACATTGTAGCCTTTTGCGTTTTATAATTGTCCTTATCAAAGATGTATGAAATGGGTTTCACCTGGTCGCAATCAGTATTGGCAAATGTAGTGTTATCAAACGGATCAGCGCATTTCGAGTCGGCATCAGATCGACAGTCCCAGCACTTGATTGCGTGACCTAAACAGAAGAAATTCTATTTTATGTCTAAGTGTAGGCAAGCGTCCATAGAGCAACTTTAGAAAGTTAACTACAGTATATCGGTGCCTATAGATTGAACAACTCAAAATTGCAAGCAACGTTAAAAGGCCCCAATAACGCAATTAATGAATGATTCATGAAGAATTAGGCTTTCATATCAAACACGCCCTTACTTACTTTCATTAATAAGCAGCAGAACTGCGAGCGTACAAAGCAAAGCTCCGAGCAGGGAAGAATTGGTCATTTTGGGGGCTCAACTCATAAACTTACAGTAAATTTTGTTAAAAAAGCTAACACTTGAGGAGTGTTCGAAACTGGCTGTTTGACAACAATTTTAAGTGAGGTTAATGGTCAAACCGTTGAAACCACGCCTTTATGGATGTCACAATGTTGTCACATTATTTTTGTCTTTGAAAGGTCATTGACATATAGGTTATTGTTGTTGTTAATTGTTAAAAAGATAAACTTATCTGTCTTTGGCCAGTTTTTTTAGCTGAAAAAAGCCTTAGTTTGGGTCACAAATTGTCATTTTCTGCTCTACAGGTAAATCTTTTGGAGTAGATAGTATAGGATCAGATAATAAATAACATGCTAGATCATAGAAAAACAAATCACATTGACAACACAGCCTTTGAGTTGTTTTTGGCTGGGAAATTTCGCACTGCATGACGTAAAACACAAACGAAAAATACGTCAAGAGATAAAATTACTGGAGTTTTCTAAATGGAGGTCACGTTATCTATTCCCCATTCCCCACAGCAGAATAATTCGAAATTTTAGGTTATTTTCGTGCATAGAAAAGGTAGACACGCGCAAGTACGTCACGCGGCTCTCACTAGTCAGTTCCCGTCAAAAATTCGCCAAACGCAAACTTACGTGGGCAAAAGTGGCTTTCAAAAGTCGAGCGATTGGTTCCAACCATTAACTTCCAACCAGATAATTAAACAACTCGTTTTTCGTCGTCATGGCGTACTGTATGCGAGTTTTGCATCGCCATGTAAGTATCCAGCCCTAGTTTTAGGCGAGCTCCACACACCGGCCTTCGCACACCATTGAGTTACATAACAGTTCATTCAAACTTCGGGAAATTCTCTAACCTTTCAATGGCAAACTGGGAACAGTTCACCTCTAGTTTCACCTTCTTCATTCAGCCCCCATTATCTATGTCTTCAAAGTCCGTCATTCTGCAGTCTGTCACAGGCTTACGATCTTCTGGGGTACAGGATGCAGCAGAGAAAAACCATAGAAAAAGTCTTCTTGATCGTGTTAAGGGCTCTTATGTACCTAAAAAACTGAACAATTTATCCCTCTGCTCCTTTTTTGCTTTTCAAGTGCAACAGTAACTTTCAAGAAGGGCCACTGATTGACCCCTAAACCTCTTGTAAACAACGTTTCTTGCCAATATCTCTGGAAAGTTCCAGTTGCCTATCAAGGCCCGTTAATGTCCAAAGGTCCTGTTTACTTGTTTATCTGTTAACTGTTAATGAATTAAAGGGCAACTTGCCAATTTTTTTAATAGTCATCATGGGGCGTATGCTTGGTGCTTAACTGAGCTGCTCGAATCCTTTACTTTACTTGGACTATAAACCGCCAGCTTAAAATGCTGTTGCCTTGCACAAAGATATCTGATAACTTATGTTACATAATTGTTATAGGATTATTTGCAAATAACTGTTTGGTTGGTGTTTAACTATTTCCGTGCACTGTTTGCTCAATGCAGAAGCAGGTTTTAGTTGGTTTTCAGAACAACAAGTTTGCCATTTCCAGATAATGGCTCTTAAGCTTTACAATGAATTTATCTATTTCAGGTGTTGAATATGCATTTTTGAAGACGTTTAACTTTCACTGAATTTCAAGAAATTCTTCAAAAATTCCCGATGGAGGCTTGGAATTTTGCCAATTTTGGAAACTAAAGCTTCGGTACTTCACTTGGTTTTGTCCTAGTTTCTGAAATACGCCTCTCACTGAAAAGCTGCTGATGTTGCAAAAAGTTGTCAAAACCTTTGCGGATCGCAACAAAACCAAACTGGTTGGATTAAGCACCCGCTAAGGCTTAAAAATCCCGGATCATTTCATGTTCAAAAGGGTTGTTTTTCTCTCCTGGCTTTGGGCAATTAACCGGTCATACAGAAGAGTGAATGCAAAAAATCCGAGTGAGACAGGGGCCATTTAATGATAATAATTGGTTTGATTTGCAGGGGGGAAAAGCGAATGTTGTCTTCCAAGAAGTCCAGGCCCGATGCTTCCACGTCTCCCCATTGGCTGCGGCCGCCGCAAAAACGGCGATGTCCAAATTCGACACCGAGCCGCTCCCTTACGACAAGTTAGTGAAAAACTTGGAAGTGGTTAAGAAGAGACTGAACCGCCCTCTCACCCTCTCCGAGAAGGTTCTGTACTCCCATTTGGACCAGCCGGATACCCAGGTAAAAATGAGTATTTCGCACTCCGAAAGTGATTAATTGCTCAAAAATGCGACTGCCTTATCAAATGTACTGCCACTTTGACCCAAACTTATCCAAAGTTCACCGATGCTGTTTATATCAAACAAATCGGTTAAAGTCTGAGTTCCATCGCTAGTTGTTGGGCTGGGACAAAAATGTGTTTGTTTGTTTTTGAGCCAATCGGTTCCAAACATCATAGGTCAAGTTCGAAGCGTAATCAATGTTGGATAGGTTCGATTGTCTGGAAATGTTATAGAATGGCCTTTTTGCCTGCAAGCTTTTGTTGAAAGCAAAGCTGAAGAACCAGGATGTTGTTCATTAATGTTGGAATTTATAATATCTACAGGAAATCGAGCGTGGAACATCCTACTTAAGGCTGCGCCCCGATCGAGTGGCTATGCAAGATGCCACTGCTCAAATGGCCATGTTGCAGTTCATTTCTTCAGGGTTGAAAAGAGTGGCTGTGCCCAGCACCATTCACTGCGACCACTTGATTGAGGCCCAAATCGGCGGAGTCAAAGATTTGGCTCGCGCCAAAGACCTGAACAAGGAAGTTTACGACTTTCTGAGCTCGGCTGGAAACAAGTACGGCGTTGGATTCTGGAAACCAGGATCAGGTTAACTTTCAACACCAAAAAACATTGCCTTTTTAATGATTTGGCGCTGTCTAGGTATCATTCATCAAATCATTTTGGAGAACTATGCCTTCCCTGGCCTGTTGATGATCGGAACTGATTCCCACACTCCAAATGGAGGCGGTTTGGGAGGCTTGTGCATTGGAGTAGGCGGAGCCGATGCTGTCGACGTCATGGCTAGCATCCCTTGGGAGTTGAAATGTCCCAAAGTCATTGGGGTTCATTTAACTGGTATGTTGACTACCTACTTGCGTTTATTTGTCAATCACGGTAAACTTGAAATGTTTTTCAGGTAAACTATCCGGGTGGACCTCACCAAAGGACATCATCCTGAAAGTAGCGGACATTTTGACGGTGAAAGGAGGCACCGGAGCCATTGTGGAATATTACGGGCCAGGAGTGGACTCAATTTCCTGCACTGGTATGGCGACCATATGCAACATGGGCGCCGAAATCGGAGCCACCACCTCCCTCTTCCCCTACAACAGCCGCATGGCCACCTACCTGAAAGCCACCAATCGCGGGGCTATCGCCCAAGAGGCCGACAAAGTGCAAACCGTCCTGCTCAACTCAGACGCCAGTAAGTCTTCAGGCCTGCTATATTTTTAGTGCGCGATTTTACCTCGCCTCCTCGCTTCAGATGCCGCCTATGATCAAATCATCGAAATCAATCTGGACACTTTGGAGCCACACATCAACGGGCCCTTCACTCCTGACCTGGCCAGCCCCATTAGCAAACTGGGCCAAAACGCCAAGAAAAACGGATGGCCTTTGGAAATCAAAGTGGGGCTCATCGGGTCATGCACCAACAGTTCTTATGAAGACATGGGTATGAACATCGGGCTGGGAATCTGATGGGAAAATATCAGTAAATTGCTGTTTTCTTCGGGTTTGTAGGCAGGTGTGCCAGCATTGCCAAAGAAGCGATGCAACATGGTATTAAGTCGAAGATACCATTCAATGTCACTCCCGGGTCTGAGCAGATCCGGGCCACGATTGAAAGGGACGGAATTTCCAAAACTTTGACTGAATTTGGAGGCACTGTAAGTTTTTAGCGATCGTGCGCCGCAGGATTTGACGCCCAAATTTTGCATAGGTGTTGGCTAATGCTTGCGGGCCATGCATCGGCCAGTGGGACCGCCAGGACGTGAAGAAAGGCGAGAAGAACACGATCGTCACCTCCTACAACCGAAACTTCACCGGGCGAAACGACGCCAACCCTGCAACGCACGCCTTTGTCACATCCCCCGAACTGGTCACAGCTCTGAGTATAGTTGGCACGTTGGACTTCAACCCTGTAACCGATGAACTCACTGGTATGGCCAACAGTATGCACGAAAATCGTTCCGCATCTACACTGTGCCCGTTCAGGTTCCGATGGCAAGAAATTCAAACTCTCTTCGCCGTTTGCTGACGAGCTGCCCTCAAGAGGCTTCGACCCCGGCCAGGACACCTACGAACACCCCCAGGCTGATGGGAGCACCGTTACTGTGAGAGTCGACCCGAAATCCAACCGACTTCAGCTCTTGGAACCTTTCGACAAGTGGGACGGCAAAGACTTGGAGGATTTGCTGGTGCTTATCAAGGTTAAGGGCAAGTGCACGACTGACCACATTTCCGCCGCTGGCCCTTGGCTGAAATACCGTGGACATTTGGATAATATCTCAAATAACATGTTTATTGGGTAAGTGGCTGTATAATCCGAACGTCTACCAAGGTGGGACTGACTGTTTTTTTTGCAGAGCCACGAACATTGAAAACAACGAAATGAATAAAATCAAGAACCAATTGACTGGCGAATGGGGCGGTGTTCCTGATGTAGCCCGCGTATACAAAGCCAAAGGCCTGAGATGGGTAGCCGTTGGAGATGAAAACTACGGCGAAGGCTCATCTAGAGAACACGCCGCTTTGGAGCCGAGGCATTTGGGCGGAAGAGCGATTATTGTGAAATCCTTTGCCCGTATTCATGAGACCAACCTGAAGAAGCAGGGCATGTTGCCGCTGACCTTTGCCAATGCCAGCGACTACGACAAGATCCAGCCCACAGACAAAATTAGCTTGAAGAACCTGAAAACGTTGGCGCCCGGCAAGCAAGTCGAATGCGAAATCAAACACAAAGATGGTTCGGTTGATAAGATTCTGTTGAACCACACGTTGAACGATCTTCAAATTACCTGGTTCAAGGCGGGCAGCGCACTAAACCGAATGAAGGAGATCGCGGCCAATGCTTAAAATCCAGGACTTGCAATTATTGAATAAGGTCATTATGGTTTTGTTGAAAAGCGCTGCCGCGGTGCGGCAGATTTCTTCAATAACTTAAAGGTAGTTGGACAATTATTATTAAATTTGCTATAGTGAGTGGATCTTGCCCGCATACACTTCGAGGAGCAACCGCAAGACCTAATAGTGATATAAGAGTAACTTTCGATTGAGTTTTTCTTCAGGATTGTACATCGTTGCCATCAGTGATTGTTTATATACGTGCTGTGTATATAATGGAAAGCTAGA